AGTCAGAAATAGCATTTCCTTAGAAGTCTAGACATTTTTTTTCCCACAGAGAGAACTAAATTTTATGTTACCTGGTTATAAATCAGACCCAGAGACACTTTTAATCCGCCATAGCAGATAAAATATACCCGAGAAGTCTGGTTATAAATACTAAACATTATTCCCCATGTTAGAAAAGTCACATTGTTTCTTAAGCCAAACCTCTCACTCAACTCAATTAGTACATCACAAGTAGTATAGGGAATCTACCCAAAGAGAAAGGACTCCATTAGTTGCATTGCTGAGCTGACAATGATTAACTCACATGCAGATCTACTATGGGATGGATAGCAAGCCAAAACCATTTTTCAGTAACATTCAGAAACATGTGAGATTATTTCATTTGCATATAGCACTATATTAAGATTCATTGCCAGCTGGTCAGAAATATTTATTGCAGATGGTAATGCAGCTGGCAAGAGGTGGATCGTCTGGGACAAACTGTCATGCTCATAATATATACTGTTCTTTCAGTTACTTTCAGTGTATTCTGTTGCTTATATTAAGAAGTTAGTCCACATCATGAACAAAATAAGGATGTCAAGATCAGGACTGCATTAACTGTTTACAGAATATTAAAAATGAACTGTCAAATGCTGTAGTTTGATACTATTTGACTTTTGACTTTCAACTGCTATTCCTCTAACACCTAACTGCCATTTATTTGTCTCTTTGCTGTTTAACCACAATGGACAAGCCAATCATTTGTCTCTTTCTTTTTTATTCATTAGAAACATTTTTGCAATTTTTAAAATTAATTTCTTGTATGCTCCCACAGATTATAGGTTCCCTGTAAAAATATCATGCTAATATCCAAAATGAGTGTGACTACATGCTTATTTTCTACTAACATGCTTATTTTCTGAAAAGGCATGTTGTCCTGAGAACAATCTTTCAGGAGTGGCCAAAATTTGTGACACTGCAGAATTCATATCAATAGCCTCACGCGCCCAAGAGCTACATAATTTATACAGCAGACATAGAAGAGGGAAGGGCTCTCAAGCATGAGATGCTAAGGGCACTCCTAGTATCCCATAGCTTCATGTGTGAGCGAAGCCAAGAAAAGAATGTAAGTCTTGTTATTTCATCTCCAAAAGATCTGGAGATTCAGAAGATTTAAGAAACCAGCATATATTAACTGGTGGTTGTTGTAGTCCTGCTTACAGTATTCCCACAGACACTCTCTTAATATGTAAAATCAGTAGAAGATCCTCAGCTGAAAGTTCTGAAAATGGAAGCTGTCGGGTTTTTTGAATGACCTTTTTCTTTGCAAATACTGCAGGTAAAGAGGTCATTTGTGGAATTAATTGACCATTAAACACAATATTATTTTTACAGTGCATAAATACAAAAGTTGTTTTATTTTTGGTAACAAAAGTTGGAATTTTCTGTGCAATGATTTCTTTTCTGTTTCTTATCAGACATTGATTTTGCAACTCGTAAAGTTGCAAAACACTTGAAACAAACAAAGGAGATTATTCAAGATGGAGATAATTTTAAAACAAAAACACTCAGTACTTTGAGAAACTATGAGCTGAACTACACTGTGGGAGTGGAGTTTGAAGAACACACCAAAGGACTCGATAACCGGGTGGTTAAGGTACACACTATCTGATTTCTCTTTACAGTCAGTATCAGCCGTAGCAGTTCCAAAAACCAGATGAATATGGTTAAAAAAAAAGGGGGGTTGGCGGTGGGGGGAAATCACCAAAACTTTACAGATACTTGAGGATTTTTACGAAGCAGAAACAGTTTGTGTCTTGAGATAGTTTCCTTTCCTGCTCCAATCACTTACACAAAATAATCAGGATGGATGCTCGCGTAAATGAGGGTAGTCTTTAATTACATGTTTTTCCTAATAGGGGATTTTTTCAGGTTTTCTCTGGTGTGCCTTTATTTATTTAGAAAGTAACAAAATAAGTTTATTTTTACCTGTGTAATCTCCTTAAATAGATTGTAAATCTATCATTCTGATTTTAGGATCTTCTCTGCATAAACATTTTAAGCTCTGAATCAGTAGGTTTATACTGGATTTGTGCTGCTCAGCCTCAAGTGGACAGTTTAAAATGTGAATACTATTTAAAGGAAGCCTACACTCAGCTATTAGACATAAGTGAGCTTTTAGAAGAGATAAGAAGAAAATGTGAGCCCATGTTACTATTGATACAGATGCAAACGCAGGCCTACAGACAGCCACAGGCAAGAAGGCCTTGTAATGCAAGCTTTAATTTCTTAAAGATTCGTGCTCGAGGTTCCCAGAGGAAACTCTGGACATACCTTCAGACACCTTCAGTGAGCGGACAAGTGATGTTTGGATCAAGGACCATATTGTGTATTGGCACATCTCCTATCTCTTACAACAGATTCAGCTAGAAAGTCTTGTGTGGCCTTCAAACCAGACCATGTCAGGAAAGTTAGTGAGGAAAAAAAGTATAATCACTGATTAAATTCATTTACTGAATTCAGCTTCATGTTTCTGTATTGATACTACTTCTGTTGTATTCTCTTCTCACCCCTAAAATACAGAAGCAATATTTTCAAAGGTAGAAAGGGTGACAGCTTCTCACCCATTCAGTGTCTTGAAAATCTTGCATCAGTTGCCTATCTTGGTTATCACTCCCTGAATCTAGCTCTATCAACTCATCTGACAATTATCATAGTTTTATTTTTCTCTCAGCTCACATCTCTCCTGCTATTCTCAAAATGATGCTGTCCCTTGCCTCTTTATCTTCTCAATAAACAAAGTTTCAGGCTTTGTTGTCAAACTGAGTAGCTGAGATCAAAGCAATTGCCATGGGAAAGCACCATGTTTGCATCTGAATTCAGGTAATCCTTCACCAGAGTGGCACAGATTATATTATGGAGTACATTGTTTATTCATTATAAAACACTGTTCATTTTTCACTCAACTTTATGCAGTGTAATTCCTATGACTTCTTCCAAATTATTTCTCATTCAGAACTCTGCAAACCATCATATAATAAAGCCCGTTTTTCAGTATGTTGAACATCCCTATAACTAAACGTTTCCCTATTGCTTTCTCCAGTGAGCACTGGTGGACACTTTCTTGTGACAGAGCTTATCCTTTACAACCTCGAACCCATGTCTCTTAGACCTGCTGCAGACACTAAGATCTAATGAATCAACCATTACATCACTTCTTAAATCCTTGCATCTTCACCACATAAAAGCCATTTTCTTTCTCTCTGTGCAGAATCATTTCACTTGCAGACTTACTGATTTCCTCTTTATTACCAATTACTTGGACAGAAGGAAGCACAATTTGTACGATTATTCCCCTACCTGGCTTATTCATTTTTGTATAATATCCTATTCTGAACAAATTACACTCTTTGTTTCTAACAAGAGGAGGAGGAAGGATGAAGCACATCAAGCCATTCATCTCCAGGCGACTCTAAAATAATTTTTTGGTCATTTATTAACAAAAAGTGCCTCAAACACATGAAGGTAATAAAACTGCTAGACAATATTTAAACATAGAGTGGGCATGGATAATTTAAAAACCATGTAGCTTAAAAATACTGTAAATATGAAAGAACTTAACTGAAATGGAATAAGTTTTGTCTTGCTATTACTAGAAAGCTCCCTCGTAAGAGAAATAAATCATCCAACCCTGAACTAAAACACAAAGTGGGGTAACGATACTCTTGGAGACTTTTAATAACTCAACTTCCACTGACTGTAACCAGTCTCTGATGAGGATTTAGCTATGATAAATGGATAAACGTCTTTCTAATTTACAATGCTTCAAATCTAGAGTAATTCAAAAGAAGTTGCTCTGAATTTACTGTAGCATACACAAGGATTATACTGAAAGTAATGCCTCCTATTATATTAAATCAGTCCACAGAGTCAGAGGCAGATGACAGTGGGATGGCAGTAGAGGTTACACCTTCCCACCAGTATTCAATTTTGCTGCCGTGTGACAGCAGAGGGCAAGTCTGACAAAACAGTGTCTGTCATAGAACTGTGCCTGAAGCAAAGGCATGTAACCAAATTTCTCTGCGTGGAAAAAATTGCACCCATTGACACTCACTGACACTTGCTGAACATTTCTGGTGACCAAACAGTAGATTCAGCACAGTGAGACAGAAGCTGGTGCACTTCAGCAGTGGCAACAGCAACAGTGGGCCACTTCTGCAGGTGCAGATTTTTACGAGCATGGCTCATCACTACCAAAAGTGAACATTTAATGGTGGTGACTATGTTGAAAAATAGTGTTTTGTAGCTGAGAATTTGCCCTATCAAATTGTGTTATTGTGCTCTATCTGTTGTAATTTCCAAGGAAATAAATAAGAGACAATACTTTTGGAGCAACCTCTTATGTGTTGAAAATTGATCCTGTAAATGGAACTCACTACAGATATGAACCTTCTGCTCCTGGACGAGATCCACTGAATCCAGTATCCTGTTTGTTAGACAGACTGAATCTCACAGAACCAAAAATGATTCAGAATGGAAGGGACCTCCAGAGATTTCTGACTCAAACCTTTTGCTAAAGCAGGGTCAGCTTGAGCACACAGTCCATCACTGAGTTCAATCAGGGTTTCGCTGTCTCTACAGATGGATATTCCAGAAACTCCTTGTGCAACCCGTGCCAGTGCCTGCTCATCTTCACAGTTTAAAAGTGTTATCTTGTGTTTAGAAAAAAAACCCACAATTTTCATGCAATTATTTTGGACTCAGCAGTACACTGGTTCGTACGAATGCTAACTTAGTGTACACAATGGAAACTGACAACAAAGCTCTGGAAAAGGTTCACAACCATCATCTTGAAAGCATTCAGGGTTTTGAATGACTGATTGGTTTGGGTTTTTTCTAGGAAGAATGAGAAGAGCAATGGTTAGAAAATGTAATTATTTTTTTTCTCATTGTTTGAATTAGCTTATTTTCACATATTCATAAATTTCTTGCTAACATGTCTGAATTAATTGATGCAGACACTAGTGACCTGGGATGGTGACAAACTGGTATGTGTTCAGAAAGGTGAAAAGAAAAATCGTGGCTGGAAGCACTGGATTGAAGGAGACCTACTGCATCTGGTAAGAACTGCTATACAGAATCATAGCACATAACAGACTGCAACAAAGTACAGTTCATCCATTTCAAAGCTTTTCTTACTTATTCTAGTTAGAAAGGTCTTTATTTAGACAGCTCTGATCTCTGAACTCGAAGGAAATCCCTCTCTCTGCTTCATCTCAGGAATGCTGTTTCTTTTCACCTGCTCCCAATTAAGACATAAACCTGCAGTGGTTTTTTTGCTCCAGTTCACTGTCCTCCAGCTATTAACCCTTCTTGTTACGCTGCACCTCTAATGTCTTCTCATTTTCCTTTAATCACTGGAAGGAAAAAGGAGGAAAAAAAAAAAAAGTAAGGGAAAAAGATTGCAAGAAAAATGTTGGGTTTTGTCCCTAAAAAAGCACTATGTAATTTTAGAAGGAACTATGTAGGAATCCAGATCAGAAATCACTCTCTGGGTACTCAAGAAGAGTATTTCCAATTATTTTGTGCTAGTACAATAGAAACAGAAAAAACCTGGAGCCTGAAAAGGAATTCAGTGAGCCTGATAGAGGCCAGAAGGGCTGTGCAGGAAAGGAGCACTCACAGGAGTATGGAAAGATTACAAAATAACAGCTCACATAATTGACACTATTCCAGAAGTTTCTTGGGAGAACAATCAAGAAATGGTAAGATAATGTTGGATGGTACAGTAGGTGGGTGCAGAAAGATTATGGAGAAGACCTCAGCAATTTCTGTCTCATGATATGCACTTAGATATCTACTCCTTGCTAAGTTTACCCTACAGATAGTAGGTGTGGTGAGCCACACTGCCTGAAGTCTGTATGCTTGAACAGTCAAGGCAATTAATGGACAATACAGTATATGTCACTGAAAGCCAGCTGTCCAGCACACATTTTCATCTCCATTTTAATACATAGTCAAAAGCTGACCTAACAAAGATGCTACATGCTGGCTGCAGGATTGAGCCTAAGACCTGGGGAAGCAGACAGACCAGGCATACTCTCAGAAGAGTTTCCAGGAACAATTTTGCAGGCTAGGGCAACTGTTGGCCGAAAACCCAGCTTCAGTTCATCTTCAAGCCTTATCTGGCACAGCAATGCCAGCTGATTGGAAGACTAATAAAACGGTGTACATTGTGATGTGCGCGTGTGCCAGACTTTAAAAGATCAGCTGTGGTGCTAAGCAAAAACACCATCCCGATCTGACTCCTAAAAGATGGCTGGGCACTTTTCTGAAGTAAACATTCTTATGGTTTTAAAGCATCTTCCCTTTTTCGTTTGTTTTGAATTTCGTTAAGTCTCGTGAATTTTGAGATAACATGAAATATAAACTATTATTGTATGTTGTTTTAACAGTGGAGCATGAAAAAGCCTTCCATTTAAGACTACTTTTAATGTATTTTTCATATATATTCATCTTAGAGCTCAATTCATGTGTCAAAATCTAATCACTGCAACACGTGGTGCATGCCTGCTGATTGTTTTTATAGAATTAGCTCTTCTTTCCTTATGTTCTCTTTTTCATAAGTGTATCTTTGTAATGTAATAGCACAGTTGTAGCAATTTCAGGGCAGGGGAGCTTCTGGCTATGCAACTTGTTCCACTAACTGTGTTAATTCTGTAGGAACTGACGTGTGAAGACCAGGTGTGCCATCAGATATTTAAGAAGAAAAAGTAACCGGAAAACCACTTACGCCTTCATCACACTATTGTGCTGATATGTTTTGTCTAAAAACAGAAACAAAGCAGATTTTGTAATAACTCTTTGAAACAGCTACGTGAATGCAATTCTGTGCATGTTTATAAAGAGAAACGTTTTGTAGAAATAACATCAGTTACACACAGCATCATTTTCTCTTTTTTCTTTTGTTGGAGTTAAATAAAAATAATTGTCTTTCAAATTGTGCTTTCCTATATCTTTACAATCTATTTAGTCTTTTCCAAAGAAACGTTCTTTAGCAACAAAGCTGAAAATTAACAGTCACAGTTATCTCAACCACAGAACGTTATGTATGTATTCTCTCGTTATGAGAGAATGTGAAATGCTGCAGCTCCTTGAAGCAGTCAGTCAGAACTGGCACTCTGCTAATAATCCCAGAGCAGAAGTTAGCTGTTAGAAGCACACCACTCCCTTCAGCAGTTGCTCCATGAAGTTAAAGCTAAGGCATACTTACAGCTATCAGAGGAAAACTGATGAGTGTACATAGAGTGCATGCATGCTGTGCATGTGGAGTTTACACAGACTGCGTGTATCCATGCATAGACTATCTAGCATACAGCAGTCTTCACCTCGCACCTCGCTTTTAGAGTTTCAAAAGAATTTTAAAAGACTTTGAAAAGTAATTTCCATACAATTGCCTTCCATTTTACTTAGGGTTTTTCAAAAGACTTCATGCTTTTTGCTTCAGGCAAGTTTAAATTTACCATGGATGGTGAGAGCTGCTTCTCTAGGTGGAAACAAATTATTCAAGGGGGCGTGCATGCATGTTCCACTGAAGAATGGTTTGCACACACAAAAGCTTGTCTGCTTTTTCTACCTAGGAATCATTTCTGTGAATTTGATTAATATATCACTAATACTGAGATGGGCAGCTGCACAGACGCATAAATAGCTATGCAGGGCCATTTTTATGAATTAGACTTTGCTCCTCCTGATAAAATTTTGAAACTGACCTGATATCAAACTTCTTGTATGCTTTAACTGAGCAGTGCTCTAATGAGAGTTCACAGTGCAGAAACCGCACTTGGAATTGGTAAATTCCTTCTTATTTTTTCTGTTCAGCCCTGATCTGAACTTCCCTATAGAAACGTACTTAATTCCTACATCTAAGCCCCTTCCAGTTATAAAGCTTAGAAGGACCACAGTTCATTAAGCTTTCAAAATATTATCAGAACTAAGTAATCACCACAATAAAGAATGTGTACATCATAATCAGTGGCATTACTCATATTTGGCTCTTGCCAAGAGAAAGCCTGCGCAGCACAGTTTAACAACTCCACACAAATCATTAAACAAAAGTTTTTACATATCCTGAAGAACAGTAATTAATTTACAAATGATGAGGAAATTATGAGGAGATTGAAGAGGGAAATAAGCATTCTTTCTTAATAAGTTTACAAGTCATATCTAGTGGATATGGATGGGAAGTAAATGAAGTAGACTTTGATTAGAGAGAAAACTGCACCTGACCTTACGTTTCTGCAAATTCAGAAAATGAAAACTCTTGACTTTTTAATAAGGGGAGGGAAAATGTTCAAGGTTATTTATGCCCCAAAACAGCAGTTTCTTCCCGCACACACTGATACGCAAAACCTTGCAGCCTTCTTTATAACTACATACGCAGAACTGGAGACAGAGGAGGTACTTCTTACACTGCATTATAATTACTTCCAAAGGTATACTCAGTTGCATGATATTTGTGATGTTAGCTTAGTCTCTAAGCTCCACAACACCCCTTACCTTTGTCAGCAGATTAAATACTCGCACTGAAGGCACAAATCTCACTGGTCAACCACAGAATGCTTACCCACATTTTTCAGCCTTCTGGCATGCACTACTGTTTCAGCTGTTTTGAAGGATTACCATTTGCATTGACTCTTTTCCTCATGGATACTATGAGGAATACTCAAATACAGCTAGTGGGAATGGAATTTACCAGATTTCTGATCCAGAGAGCAAAAAAGCCTGTACTGTAACAAAAGCAATTCCTAATGAGTACAGTAAGAGTCAGAACCATTGCCTGTCACTGGACTTTTCAAACCACAATGACACAAATAGGCATAGGAAATATTTATGATAGGATTTCTAAAATTTTCTGCACTGAGCCAGTTTTGCTCCTGGAAAGTCAAATGATTAAAGGAAGGCAACATTGCTGTAGGATAATGTTGTAAATGCTCCCACTGGTAATGCTCTATGGTTACTTTGTAAGATGCTGTCTTTCTGTTAAGCTCTGAAGGTCCACATAGGTTGTATGTGCACAGAACAGCTTTCAATTTGCCCATAAATATCCTACTCACTCTGCTGACTTGCTGCATGTGAAGTATGCCCATTCCACTGCCATCTGGCAAAAAGTCCGAGGTTTTTTACAATCTAACAAAGGCAAATAGAATTTCACTTCCAAAACAGTCGTTTAATTGCATTTGTTTATGTTCTTTTTGACCAAGAGCACATAATTCGCCCTAATGTGGGGAGAGACTAATAGAAAGGATGGAAGCATTCAGATTTACTCTGAAGTTTTTTTGTCCCCTAGAACGCATTATTTTCAGGTTTAATTCATGCTTGATCTGAAATGCAGAGGTTGCATATGTTTTAATTTCAGCCTGCTGATTGCACGTTATGAAGCCTAGAAGAAATCATTTTGTGTATGATCGCTTGTTTTTTCAAAACATACTCTTTCTATATATGTGTAGGGAAAAATAATGATAACAATTGAAGAATATGTATTTTTCTGGAGGTATGCTAAAGCTAAAGATTGCTGACATTTGAGTGATCAGATGTAGCAGAAATGCAAAGTCACGGCCTGAAGCAGTGATTGAGCACCTGGTGGAAGGCAGGGCCAACCCAGGAGAGCTCAGGTGCATGCAGTGCACCTGAATGACCAGAAGGGATGGAGTCAGGATCCAGCCCTTCTCAGACCTCATTTAAGGGTTGGCAGTGGAGGTGAGGGTATCTCATTGGAGAGCCCTGCCTGAGTCCTTTCAAAGGTAAGCACTTTTTCTTCCTTTGTTTTTGTGTCCCTAGTTGCTGCATTTGGGTTTGTTCCCATTTGGTTCAGCTGAGGATTGTGCCACCCTGCTATTATTGCTGTACTTTCTGTCGCGTTACACTAGACTGATGCAGTGTTCTTCCAAGACCTACTGCAGAGCAGTAGTCCTAAAACCCAACTGAATTTGTGTATCTTTTCAACACATGGATTGAAAAAAAAAAAAAAAAAAAAAAAACCCACTTTGCTCCACTTCCAGTGTTCTAGAAAATATATTCTAGCTTGATCAATGAAAGGCGAATGCAATGTAGTCACAAAAGCAGGCAAAGTCTTCGTAAAATCCAGTTGCTATCAAAAGCAAACCAAGTATCTACTCCCAAAAATGTATAAATTTATCTTTTCAGTATACTTTTTAATTAAATTTCAACTTCTGAAATTACTGTAAGGCATCAAAGTGTAGACTGGAGCATCGTTTTGCAAGCAGTTATGTATAAGTCAGAGCTCTTCAGTGGAGTCAATTACTCCATTCAGCCAGATCGGATCTTGAAATCAGGTCATGCACATCTGATAGACTCTGAAGCTGCAGCATGTAATGCATTCAGAATTCAAAACATCAGTATCAGGAAACTGCATATTACTATTCACTGTTATTGATATCTGCCTCAAAGATTCAATAAATAAAGACTGCAAAACTTCCTGAAGATATTAGGGAAAAGATGTTTTAAGTTAAAAATTTATCTTTTCGTTAAGATGTTCAAAGTGTGCAACAAAGAATATTCCCATGTGACAAATGGGATCTTTTGTTATGTCCAAAAAGTAGTTAAGTGTCACTTCTCGAATTAGATATGTACCATACTGATTTAAAAAAAATAAAATACCAACAAATTAATCTAAATTAGACTTGATGCATTTTTTGAGAAGCCAGTATCAGTAAACTAGTCACAGACATCACCTGGACAATGAGCTCTACTAGTTAGGGGATTAAGGCAGAATTGAATCACTCTCCTTGTGGGGAAAAAAAACAGCCTCTAAAAACACAGATTGCTGTTTGCTACTAATGGGTGCCTTGAGTAGCATTACAGCAAATTGCTTTCCTTGATGGCATAAACTGAATACACAGAAAATATGAATGCTTAGTTAAAATGCTAGTACATCAAAAGTCACTAAAGGAAAATAAGTGTTTTCCAGAGAAGGGCATTGTGTGATCATAACTGAACTATTTCAGTTTTAGTGAACTTGTGCCATTTAAAATGGGAAGCACGACCAGATTTTTTTTACTGTCATGATGATTGTGAAGCCATTCTGCAGCACTGCAAAATGAATGCTAACTATGACTAACTCACAATGGCAGGAATACATTAACTGCTGGCCGCTGGGCTGTAGAATCCAGTGTGGACCTCAGAGGAAGTCTAGACAGCTCCAGTCTGTGCCACAACTTGGGCTCCCAGATGCAGTATCTGCTTATAGCAACAGGTTACGCCTCTTCCTATTGGAATCACCTTGCTTAGCCTGTCTTATACTAAAACATCTCTGCACCATGAAATTCTATAGGGGCAATGCAGAACTACAAGATGGTAATATTTATCAGTCAATTATAAGTGGCTGAACTTTTTCAATGGAACAAGTTAACTCAAAGGAGTTGCAGAACATATTTTAGTAGAGTAGATCTATAATGCAGGTCTCTATTTTAGAACTGCTGAAGTTGAATATTATCTCTTCCAGACACAAACTCATCTAATAAGGCTGAACTTCCTCAGCAACACCACTGAATATGCATAGGAAGACAGCAGTGTCAGATTGTGTAAAATCAGGTAGAGGAAGATTTTTGTGAAGAATACAGCCCCTTCACACACCAAAAAAAAAAAAAAAGCACAGAATGGCTTAGATTGGAAGGGACCTTCTAGATAACAAGTTCCAACCCTCTGTCATGGTCTGGTTGCCACCCACGAGATCAGACCACCCAGAACCTCAGTTC